AAGGAAGGAAGGAAGGAAGGAAGGAAGGAAGGAAGGAAGGAAGGAAGGGAAGGATTTGAAACGATTTTGCAGACAGAGAAGAGAAAGATACATATAATCACTGGAGCTGCCGGCCAAGTGGAGTGCTTCACACAAAGATGACTTCAAAAGGAGGAGAGCATCAATCTTTAATGTTTCCACTCGCAGGGTGGAGGGCTCCACACAGCTGCCCCCTGCTGAGGAAAACTCAGGAAGAAGTGCTCAGTGGCTGCCCTAGCCAAGGCCTGACTACTTTGATGGCTCTACACTGTCATCCTGGCTGATTCTGAGTGTGCCTGCGTGCTGTACCCCATTCAGGGCAGTTTTCCAAGACCTCCAAAGGCAGTACAGGAGAGCAGAGGGAACCCCAATGCCAGGAAATTCAAAATGCTTCTGTACATCCTTAAGCAACTGTACATTCCCTTGTAATGTTAAAATTAAGGTGTTTCTTTCTAGATACTCTGTTTCCAAACACCTTAACCCTCTGTCTCCCTGGCTGCTGCTTTGCTGGGTACCTGACTCACAGTGGCTCTACCTGAGTGTCCCCCAATACGCCCCTGGGTGTAGAAAGTATGAAGGGCTCAAAGGCAGTGCCAGGTCTCAGCTTCTAGAAGTTCTCCATGGAGAAGACCCATTCTGTGAAGGTAGATAATCACTCTCTGAGCTGAGCAGCCCCAACAGCAAGGGTCAGCAAGTCACTCAGCAACCAGTCAACATCACTGGATCAGTCCACAGGGAATGCAGCGCTGGGGACAGGGAGAAATGAGAAAGGTTTGGGGAGATGCTCTTTGGGGATTATATCCTGGTGGAAGAGCAGCTTTTCTAAAAATGACAGTTCAGATGCAATTGCAGTAATGTAAGCCCTGGGTGCGGGCATGGGGTGTCAGCTCAGCCCTTGGTGCCTATTCATAGATGGTACCAGCTTAGTGTCTCTGGGCTAGATTCCTTATTTGCCCCAGGAAATCTCAAAAGCTTCTCCAAGCTCCAACCACTGGTTTAGAGTTCAAGATGTGAGTTTTATGACATCTGGCTTCCCCATTTCCCCACTGTGTAGACAAATGACTCCATGTGTCTGAGCCTGGGTATCCTTTGTAAAGTGGGAATGGCAGTTACTCATCTCGTGGATTAGTACGAAGAGTAACTGGATGGCATGCTGTATTGCTTTTCTTGTCTCTGTGACAGAGTGTCTGACAAGAACAACTTCAGGGTGGGAGGATTTCTTTGGCTCACAATCCATCATGGTAAGGCATGACATTGACATCTGGGGCTCTGTCCAAGGCAACAGGAGCTTGTGATGTGACTTGTTACATCTTAGTGCATCAGGAAGCAAGAGCTCATTGGAAGCAGGGATAGGCCATACTTTTCAAAAGTCCCCAGTGACCCACCTCCACCAGCCACGCCTCCCATGATCATATTCACACAGGCCACATGGCCACCGGTCTCCAGTAGAGGGCCAGGTAGATAATGGGCATTCCCTGAAGACAAACTATTATCATGTTTATCAGTGTTGTCAGCATTCCATGATTTCCAGACTGTATGTGTTGTATGAATGTTTCTCTACTCCTGGACAGAGCCTTTCTATCCCAACATAAACCTGAGACCAGGATTTTGAGGCTCACAGCACTGCCCAGATGTGGTTTTTTCCCATTCATGTGTTAGCCTCATGGATACACCCCAAGAGGGGCTACCTGTTGAATTGAGACAGGGGAGAAGGTAAAATCCAGGCGGGACTAGGAGGCAGAAGCTCAGAAGACAGGTTGGGAAACATATGACAAACAGGGCCTCTGGACGGGGTCCCAAATCTTCACATGTTCTCTGTACCCTAGTTGCTTTCTAATGGTCACCCATGAATAGCCTACATGTTTCTGTTTGAAAATAAAACGGGGGCTGGAGAGATGGCTCAGCTGTTAAGAACACTTGCAGATGACCCGAGTTCAATTCCCAGCATTCACATGGCAGCTAACGACCGTCTGTAACTCCAATTCCAGGGGATCCAATGCTGTCATCTAACTTCTGAGGCATTGCACAACACAGGTGCACTTACATACACTCAGGCAATACTCTCATACACATAAAATAAAAGTAATATCTAAAAAAAAAGAAAGAAAGAAAGAAAATGCAATGGACTAGGGATGTAGCTCAGTTGGTAGTGTGCTTGCATAAATGCCAGCACCTGCATAAACTGGGAACAGTGGCACATGCCTGTAATGTAGTAGCACTTGGGAGGGGGAGGCAAGAGGATCAGGAGTCCAAGGCCTCCTTGGTTACATAGCAAGTTTGAAGCCAGCCTGTGCTACATAAAATATATCAAGAAAGAGAGAAAGGAAGGAAAGAAGGAAGGAAGGAGGGACAGAGAGAGGGAAAGGAAAGAAGAGGGAGAGAGAACAGAATAAAAACATAACTAGAAAATCTTTATTGTCTGCCCCTAATAGGAAGCAAAATTAAAGAGTGCAAAGAAACACAGCTGTAGCTCAGCCCATGTCCTCTTCCCCTTGCCCTCTAGACTGTGCTCTTCAGATTTCAAAGGGCTATTTGCAGACATCAGAAAGGTGTGGAGATGGTCTTCTGAACCCAGCCACAGGGGTGCGAAGAGAATGGGAAAGGAAATCATGTTCTCAGCTGGGCTCAGGTCTGGGAACCAGATGCTCTCTTCCTATGGCTTGGGGAAGGGGTGGGGTAGAGTTTGCAGTTAAGGTGATTGCCTGGAAGGTAGACTCCAGGATTCTGTGCTGGGGGTCCCTGTGACCTTCTCCAGGAAGTTCCTGTGCTCCTCAGACCTGCAGGATCAGGATTCACTCACCTGCTTTGGTAGCTGCCTTGCCAGTGTGAGACCAGGAAGCTGTGGCAGCCTGTGACTCTTGATGTCCCCTGGCCTCGCTTGGCAGTACCTTCCAGTCCTAAGCAAGTGGATTCCCACACACCTGGTGAGCCTGTTGCCTGCTGCTCACCCCTCCCAACTCGTCCACAGAATTTGCAAGTCACTATCTACAGCCTTCTTTCTTTGCCCTACCCTGGGGGGTATTACTAGCCCCCAGATGGGAAGAAAGTCCTGAAACCAGAGCAGAAGGCATCTTCGGTGACACGCCTAGAGACAAGCATTAATAGAAGCCTCCCTCAGGCCCCTGACACGTCTGGGCAGCTGCTCAAACAGCCCAGTGTCCCTCAGCCCCAAGGCCAGCCCACTCTGGCTCAGCCAGACACACTAAACTTAGCTGCAATCCCCAGCTCCATAGCTACCGCCACCACCTAGCTGGTTGTCACCTACCCTGGGAGACCCTGCTGCCCCTGACCAGAGCACCTACATCAGTGACCATCATGTCTCAGACCAAAACACTGAAAGTTCGTCTGACCCTCTTCTTCATCCTGGTGGGTGGCATGCTGGCCATGGTGGCCGTGGTGACTGACCACTGGGCTGTGTTGAGCCCCCACTTGGAGCAGCACAATGTTACCTGTGAGGCGGCCCACTTCGGCCTCTGGAGGATCTGTACCACTCGTGTTGCCGTGCAGGACAGAAAGGACAAGAGTTGCGAACACATCACTCTGTCAGGGGGTAAGGTCCCCATTCTTTCTACCTCTTCCCACTTCAGCCTTCCAAGACCCTCAGATAAGTGGTCCATGGGAAAGACGGCAGTTTCTGGGTCTGAGAGCAGAGCAGCTGCCCAGCACTTCCTGCCAGGGAAGAAGGTGGGTTCTGCTTTGGGGTAGTGTTGGTGCCAAAGCTGGGGTGGAAAATGAAGGTGTTTGTCTCCAGTGACTTCTGTTTTGGGAAGCCTGGTTTCTTCTCCCACAGTTTGGTGCTGTACCTGTGGGATAAGAGGCTCCTAAAGCTGCCAGTTTATTAGACCAGGGACTTTGGACCCCAGGGGTAACACTCAGTGGTGTCCCAGCTCCATTCCCTCCCTGCAGAGACAGGCTGGTGGCTCTACATCTCAGGCTAGAGGAACCTGTGGGGCAGGCTGGGTCCCGCCTCAGCCTCCAGGCAGAGGGACAGACAAGACTACTACTGGGTTTGCCATGAGAAAGGAAGAGACCAAGTTCCTTGTTCCTAAGTACTGAGAGCTTCAAGCTTGCTACAGCAGAACAGGAAACCAAGCATGGGGCCTTTCTGGGGGCGGGGCCTGGAGCATGGCTATAAAGCAGGAGATGATGGCGTGGATGCCTTGGATGACGATGCGGATGACTTGTTGGAACCTGCAGACCTGCTGTGTGCCCTCCCTCAGCTCAGATCATTCTGAGTTCCTCAGCATTTCCTTACTTGGTGATTTTGGGTATTCCTCCATTCCCTACACATGGCAGAGCCAGACACCGCAAGCAAGCTCCTTCCCTGGGAGGTCTGGTATTGGTGTGATGCATCTCGATTCTGTAAGTGTAGAGTCCTTGGGATTCAGAGAAAATGGAACATGCATTGAAGGAAGGGTCACCAGGGAGAAGCAAGGCCTGGACCCTAGCCACCTTTGCCCGCTGCCCTCTTAAAGGACTTTCTTTAAAATGCAGTGCTGGGGATAGAACCCAGGACTTCATGCATGCTAGGCAAGCACTCTACCAACTGGGTTACATCCCCAGCCCAATAAAGGACTCTTCAGGGAGACAAGTCCCATTCCAGCTTCTGTTTCACCTGTATAAAACATGAGACTTGGGGTCACTTCCAGGACTTACACGTGTCTCCAAGGAGGCAAAGGACCACAGCATAGGTGACTTCTGTCCTGGTGCTCAGAACCGTTTCTTCCGTTCTCTGAGATGTGCCCGTGGAGAGGTCAGTGCTGAGTCTCCAAAGGTCCTACAATCTGTGTACGGCTTAGAGAGCCCACCCTCCCATTGTTATTCCTCCTCTTCCTCGCTGCTTGCTTCAGGAAGCCCAGACGCCACTCATCCTTGATGTATACCCAGAGATTTATATATTCTCAGCTGTTTTAGAAACACCAACTGTCAGGGCAGAGGGCTTTGACAGGCATGAACATGTGCGTGAAGGGTATCACATAGCCCAGTGCCCACACCCCTTGGTCATTCCCCACATTCGTAAACAGATGCATCCTCCAGCCAACTCCCTGGGCGGTGCAGGGCGAGGCAGTTTCTCCAGGGATCACGCATGGGGTGGGACATTATGATCCTGTCCTCCTGTCCTTAGAGCTGTGTGCCTGTTAAAGTCAGAGCAGATGAGTAATATCCACACAGGGAAGAGACAGGCTAGTGAGAGCACCAGCCTTGGGGGACCCATAGGCAGGACTTGGCCTTGAGCCTGAGCTAAGTTTTTCTCTCTGCCTTCTTGCCCCCCTCAGCCATGAATCATACTGCCCACGCTTGGGACACCAAGGCCAACCTCTCCCTTGATGTCTTCCAAAGCCCATTCCTGCTTTCTCTTACGTTTTTTCACCCCCTCTGCAAATGGACATTGTTTTCCTTCCCCATCCACCTTTTCTATCCCGGGACCTCTCTTTTCTGGAAGAAGATCATGTATGTTCTCTCACTTATTAACAATTACAATAACGGCACATCAATGTAGTGCTCTCTGTCAAATACTGCTGTGGGTGCTTTGCTTTGGGCAATCAAAGAAAAAAAAACAAACTAAGAGAGAATACCCGCCCCCAGCTGAATCTTCTTGTCCACAAAACAACGAAAATGCTGAAAGGAAAAATAATGTCAGAATCATCATTTTCAGAACTCTGGAAACGAACCAAAATTTTACAGCAATCCAGCAAGTGCTTATTCAAGAAAAAGAAGCAATGTAGGAGCAGCAGTGAATGCTAGAATGCTTTAATTTGCCCCCTTCCCATTCGCCCTCCCTTGGGCTCTGTTCGGTCCCCGAAAACCACATCATCTTGTAATCAGCAAGACAAAACAAAGCACAAAACAGTCTGGTTGACACTGGAGGGGACAGAAGAGAGTTGGATTTTTTTCAGAGCACTGTCATTATCTGACCTCTCTGGCCATTGTCCAAATTTGTCCTAACTCTGAACTCATCCAGTATAAGCAGACTTTCTGGGGCATTTGTTGAAAATGGTTATAGACAATTATTTAGCAGCCATGGCTATGCAAGGCAGGAGATAACAGATACGGAAAACACGGTTTCGAAAGAGCTAGATGTGGAGCTAGAACGATGATTCAGCAATTAAGAGCACTGGTTGCTCTTTCAGATGACCAGGATTCAGTTCCTAGCACCCACATGGCAGCTAACAACTGTCTGTAACTCCAGTTCGAAGGAATCTGATGTCCTCTTCTGGCCTCCACTGGCACTGCACACATGTGGTACACTTACATGTATGCAGTCAAAACATACACATAAAATAAAAATAGATAAATAAAAATTTAAGGGACTGGAGAGATGACTCAGCAGTTAAGACCACTGGTTGCTCTGCAGAGGCCCTGAGTTCAGTTCTCAGCACCCACATGGTGGCTAACAACTCCAGTTCCAGGTGATCCAACACACTCTTCTGACCTCCATGGGCATTGTGTGACACGAGTGCACTTACATACGTGCAGGCAATACACTCATACACACAAAAAAAATAATAAATAAAATACTTTTTAAATTTAAAAATAGCCAGACATGGTGGCTCACGCCTGTAATTCCAGCAATTGAAAGGCTGAGATAGAATTTTGCCATGAGTTTGAGGCCAGCTTGAGCCATATAGTGAGTTCCAGGCAAGCCTAGGCTACAGTCAGACTGTCTCAAAGAGAAACAAGCACAAAGAGGACTTGTAGCCAGTGTGGTGGCGCACACCTTTAATCCCGCACTCGGGAGGCAAAGGCAGGTGGATCTCTGTGAGTTCAAGGCCAGTCTGGTCTACATAGTGAGTTCCAGGACAGCTCAAGCTACAGGGAGACCCTGTCTCAAAAAGAAGAAAAGGAAAAAAAAAAAAGATCAAGAAACCCTGCCTCAAACAGAGTAGGAGGAGGGTTCCAGGTCCCAAAGTTGTTCTCTGACCTCCACATGCATGCCATGGCATGTGCGTATCAGCATTTACACATAGGAAAGCACATGTATACACACACTAAAAGAAAAGAAGAGGAGGGAGGGAGGGAGGGAGAAAGTACAGTGATAGGCAGATGAATCAGTTCCAGCATCTTGGAGCATCTCTGTAACTGACCAGTAAGCTAAGATTTCAGTGATTCAGATGACTAGGAATAGTCTGTACAAAATTTTCAAAAATAGTAACAGGAACAAACCTCAAGAAGGAGAATCAGACTTCTAGAGTTGCCACATTATATTGTTTAAAAAATTCAAACTATTTGGACTGGACAAATGGCTCAGGAGTTAAGAGCATTGGCTGTTTTTTGCAGAAGACCCAGGTTCAAATCCCAACACTCACACGGCAGCTAATAACCATCTGTACCACTGCAGGCATTGCATGATGCTAGTACATGCAGGCAACACATATATACACATAAAATAAAAATAATAAATGAATTTTTTTAAAAATCCAAGCCATTAAGCTGGGTGTCGTAGCATATGCCTTTAATCCCAGTACTCAGGAGGCAGAAGTGGGCAGATCTCTTTGAGTTCAAGGCCAGCCTGGTCTACAAAGAGAGTTTCAGGTCAGCTAGGGTTATATAGTGAGACCCTGTCTCAAAAATAAAAGAAGTAAATAAAAATAAATGAATAATAAAAGTCACTTAAAGAACTAAGATAATATGGGCAATATATGGGGAGGAAAAGTAGATACTATCTAGAATGTTCCCTTAGAATGTCTACATTTTGGGTTTTCTAGACAAAGATTTTTTTTTCTTTTTTGAGACAGGGTCTCCCTGTATCCCCAGCTGTCCTGGAACTCACTATGTAGACCAGGCTGGCCTCGAACTCACAAAGATCCGCCTTCCTCTGCCTCCCAAGTGCTAGGATTAAAGGCGTGCGCCACCATGCCCGGCTTAGACAAAGATTTTATTACATTGTTTGTTTGGTATGTGTGTGTATGTATGTGTGTGTATGTGTGTGTGCAGATCAGAGGGTGACTTTTGAGAGTCAGTTCTCTCCTTTCATCATGTGGGTCCAGAGATCAAACACAGCTTGTCATGCTTAGCAGCCAGCACCCTTACTTGCTGGACCATCTTACCAGCCCTAGACAAAGACTTTAAATTATCTGTTTAAAATACATTCTAAGAACTAAAATAAGCCATATATAAAGAATTAAAGAGAGTGATGCCTCACAAAATAGATGTCAGTCAAGAGACAGAAATGAATTTGAAGTATCAAATAGAAATTCTTTTGAAAAGGACAATAATTAAAATGGAAATTTCATTCAAGAGCCCCGAAAGCAGGGCTAAGCAGACAAATGAAAAACTACGAACCTGAAAATAGGTCCATTGAGATTAGCTAGGCTGAGGAACAGGCAGGAAAAAGAAAGGGCGACAGATCAGACACCCATGAGACACCATTGTGTATGTCACTGGAGACTCCAGAAAAGAGAGAGAGAGAGAAAAGATGTAGGAAAAAAAAATAATGGCTGAAAGCCCTAAAATTGGATTAAAGATATTAATCTATAAACATAACAAGTTCAATGAACTCTGGGGAGGATGAACTTGAAGAAATCCACACCTGCACAGAGCACAATAAAA